GCCTACCCGTGCGCCCGCGCCACGGACATCCGAGGTACCCCACCCCTATATACCCCAAACTTCAGGCTGTTCCATCAGAGGGAGAGGGCCGAATGCTCCTGCACAGTCCATGGGTGCGTGGCTGCAGCGGGGCTCCTCGGTGCCAATTGAATTCTCAGTTGACCCCCCCTTCCGGTACCCAATGTGTTCTTCGAGTTAAAGTGCCCCCCCCCACACCCTCGGGCTCGCGCCCTATTTCTTAATCAGGGTGAGTCTTGAGCCTGATACTGCGCTGCTGGCCCCTGGCTTACAATAACAACAACGGCAACACCAGCACCACCACCACCACCAACAACAACAACAAGAGGCAAGCAAATTCAAACTGCTCCCTCTGATCTGCGCGCGTGCCATTAAACACATACATTCCTAACCCTCGATACCCGCCCTCTTCTAATTCGATCGTACCCCCTTGGGGATATATCTTTCTCACCTGCAACGCGTATGTCATGCAGCCGCTATGGCAGGGGAAAAGAGGACGGATGGAAGAAAGGGACAAGGGGGAAGGAGGAGGATGGAACACGAGAGAAACAGTAGCAGGAGGGGAGCTCGGAGCAGAAAACACGTGGCAGAAACAGACGGGCAGATCGGGCGGGCAGACCCTAACAGGCGAGTCGGGAAGGCCAGCCCAAGCGGCCAGGTCGAGCAGGCGGGTTGCTGAAGCGTGCGTCCTGCACGAGTCGCGAGTCTCGAGCGATAGCGTGATTTCCAAGTAATCGTGAGATTGGCCAAAGCGAGAGCGTGACTCCTGAGTGTCGAGGGCGCGGCGTCTGATCAAATTGCGAGGAGAAGTCCAACGCGAGAGCGCTAGCTCCGCAGAGCTTGTGAGGACGTCCGGCGCGAGAGCTCGATTTGGGAATATATTGTGAGTCGTGGGGGCCGTTGTTGTTGTTGCTCGGGGGCCAGGGGCCCAACTCTGAGACCCAAAACCTTCCCTGATAAAAAAACAAGGCGCGACCCCTGGGAAGGGCGCGACCACCTGGATGTGCCCCGGATGGGGGATTCACAACAATTATGCTTCAGGAGGTGGAAATCAACAACAGCAGCAGCAACGACAACAACAAAAAACAACAACAAAACAACAACAACAACAACAACAACAACAACAACAACTACAACAACACTAACAACAACGACAATAGAAACAGCAACAGCAACAGCAACAACAACAACAACAACAACAACAACAACAACATGAACAGCAACAAGGCAACACCGGCTTTCTGGGCCCCATGCCCATGGCCTCGCTTACCCGTCGTCCCCACAGGAGGAACACTCACATTCCAAGGCCCCTCGGGGCTTGGGGGGGGCGCCGACAAGCACCGTTCCTCCGCAGGTCTAATCGAAATTTTATCAGAAGTGCATCCATCCACCTCTAATCGAATCCTATTAGAGGTGGCTCCACCCCTGAAGGAATCCTTTTGGAGGTGTATCCACCTCCAATAGAATCTTACGAAAACTGTAGAGGTGCATTCACCTCGAATAGAAACCTATTAGAGGCGCATCCACCTATTAGCAGAAACCTATTAGAGGTGTAGGAGGTGTTTCCACCTCTAATAAATCCAATTCGAAGTGTAGAGGCGCATCCACTCCTAATAGAATCTCATCACAGGTGTATCCACCTCTAATAGAAACCGTTAAAAGGTGCATCCATCTCTGGTATACCCCTTATTAGAGGTGTATCCACTTCTAAAACATATATTAGAGGTGTAGAGTGGATATACCTCTAATATAATCCTATGAGACGCGTGTCCGCCCCTAATAGAATCCCGTAAGAGGTGGATCCACCCCTAGTAGGATCCGATTAGGAGGTGTAGAGGTGGATACGCCTCTAAAAGAATCCCACACTCGACCAGGATAGAAAGGATACGCGGTAACAATGCAAGTGCCTTGGAACGCCATGTTGACGTTTTCCGTGGGGAGCGCAGCAGAATTCTGAAGGATGCATAATACCGAAGGGGCAAGGATGCGAGGGTACGCTTGGGAAGTTGCCCCATCCGGACAATCATGGTTGACTGGATTAGAAGTGTATCCACTTCCTATAGAATTCTATGAGAAGCGCATCCACCCCTAATAGAACCCGCTTAGAGGTGTATTCACCCCTACTAGATCCCGACTAATGTTGTATCCACCCTTAATAGAATCCTACTGAGGAGGTTCAACCGAGAATCGTTTGAATCCCATTAGAGGTGTATCCACCCCGAGTAGACTCGGATTAGAGGCGGCCGTCGGCTCCTCCCCGCCAGCATTGTCGTTCAGCTTCACTGTTTCGTTCGGCGTGCGCAAAGAAAGCCGACCGAGCAAATCAAGATCGTCATCACCATCAGCGACAGCATGGTACCTGTCGTCATAATCACCAACATCCTCGTCATCATCATCATCATGAGGCCCCCAAGACGGTCCAAGAGGCCCCTAAGACGGCCCAAGGGGACCCCAAGAGGGCTCCAATGCGGCCGCGAGAGGCCCCCAGGACAGCCTCCGAGGGGGCGAAACGGCGCAAAAGCGCCAAGACAGCCCAAAACGCCCCGAAGAGGCCCCAAGAGGCCCCCAAGAAACCTCCAAGAAGCCCCCCAGAAGCCTCCAAGGCCCCCCAAAAAAACCCAAAGGCCACATAGCGACTGGAGTGTAATGTTATTTTCCCCCCTCTGGGCAAACTGCGGCGCAGCGCCAGCCAGGTGAAGTTGGTCACTGCGGCGCCCATGATTAGAGCCGGCGCTGGAAGGGAAGAAGGGGACGGTGTATGAAAAGGAAAGGGGAACGGCCCCAAAGAAGCTCCCAGGAGGCCTCCAGGAGGCCCCCAAGAGGCTCCCAAGAGGCCCCGCGACGACGTGACTGTACGTGCTCCGGACGTGCACCCCGCGAAGCGAGAGGAATCGTAAGAACATATAGCGCGGGAGCGTCGTTTGACTACCTACCAGACCATCCCAACCCAACCCGAAGACCCTACTTTGACCCGAATTTCGGGTTGGGGGGTACGGGTTCCATGTGTTTCTTCACTGTTTCCCGACCCCCCTTCCTTGGAAATGGAAGGCAAATTGAGGCCTTCGGGTTGGGTTGGGGTTGTTTGGTGGGTGGTGATTGTTACTGTGAGGCCAGTTCGGGCGGCACCCCGAACCGCTTGAGCGTGAGGATCAATATCAAAAAAACGTGCACCCAGTGCCGAGGTGGGAGCGCCAAAGCGCCTGCAGAGGTTTCAACATCAATACATGTTTTACAACTAACATTCCACAACGGCTCCTGCCTGATACTTCCTCACAATGTATTCGAAATCTCGCTCTCGCGCGGGGCGTGCTCAGTTTAACCTGGAATCGCGCTTTCGCCTGGGACATCCTTGTGATTCATTGAGGCGCTGCTCCCTCGACGCCCAGGAATAGCGCTCTCGCACGAAATTCCCTTGCGACTTACTCGGGTTTATGGTCTCGCCTGAGGCCTCTCCGCAATTGACGAAATTCGCTTCAATGCCGCGCCCGCCCAAACCCCCCGTAAAGGCGCGCCCGCCTGACCAGCCCGTTACAGTCCGCCCGTCCGACCCGCCCATTCGCCTGCTTGAAACCCGCGCGCCAGCTTCAATGTCCCGCCCGACCCGCTCGCAAGGGTCTTCCCGTCCAGCCCGCCCGTTAGGGTCCGCCGGGCCGACCCGCCCGCTAGGCCCTGCTGGCCCGACCTGCCCGTCAAAGTCCGCCCGTCCACGTGCTTGCACCTCTCCCCCGCCCGCTCGAATACCCCGCCCGTCCGGCCCGCCAGTCAGGGTCGGCTCGCTCGACCCGCAAGTTAGGGCCGTCCCACGCGACCCACCCGTCAGGACTCGCTTGCAACAACAAGATGCTCCTCGCCCTCCCCCTCCTGCTAAACTATTCATCGCCTTCAATCCTCCTCCCTTCGTCTTGCCCCCGTCCCTGCTCCTGTTCCCTCCTCCACGTCCTACTTCTCGTGCTGCTCTTCCTGCTCCTGCTCTGCTCCTGCTCCTCCTCCATCCCTTCCCGTGTGCATACCCTTCCCCGTCGCGACCCGAGGCTGGTCGAAAGGGCGGGCCGAGCGTTTCGCCTGAGATTTTCTTTCCACTGATGGGCCCGAAAGCCTTAAATTTGGCAGCAATTTCACAGATGGAGGGCGGGTCGTTTTCAAAATGTGGCTCTCGCCTTAGCGCCGCGAGCAGTCGTCTGAAAGAAATGCCAGATTTCACGGACTGAGAGCGGGTCTGTTTAAACATGCGGTTCTCGCCTCAGCGCCGCGCACACTCGTCATAAACATTTGCAAGAGCTGCACGGATGGACGGCCGCTCCTGTTCAAAATGTGGCTCCCGCCTTGGCGCCGCGAACGTGCGTTACAGAATGCTAGACATTCACGGAAGGAGGGCGGTTGGTTTTCAAAATGTGGCTCTCGCCTTAGCGCCGCGAGCAGTCGTCTTACGAAACCCCAAAAAGAGGCTTCACGGATTCAGGGCGGCCGCTTTCAAAATGTGGCTCTCGCATGGACGCCATGCATATTCGTTTTAAGCAGTTGCAAGAGCTTCACGGATTGAGGTCGCTCCTTTGAAACATGTGGTGCTCGCCTTACCGCCGCACTAATTCGCTTTTAACAACCGCAGGGGTGTCACTGATTCCCATGGTTGTCGTACCAGAAACGGCGTTCTGGAACGATTCAGAAGTGCCGTGGCGCAACAGTTGGTTTGATTCGCTGCGTTGTCCTAGGAACGGTGCTCTGGGAGGATTCAGGATCGTCGAGACGCAACAATCAAAATGACTCGTGGCGTTGAAGTTCCGAGGATTGTGTGATGGCACGCTTCAGGGTACTGCGACGGTTGTCTCCCCACGGGGCACTTTCCTCAGTGGACATGAATCCTGGTAAGGACCTATGATGAGGAGGCTTGGAGGGAGGGTTGATTCCAATATCGTTGGTAAGCCTTGGGTTTACACTGGTCCTCCTCGTCCTCCTCCTCCTGCTGCTTCTCCTCCTCCTTTGTTGGATGCCGCGGCAACTGCGCGTGACAGACATGAAAGATTTACCCCAAGAGGGGGCAGTCAGAGCTCACCTGGCCCGCGCACACAGCGCACAGGTGCTTGAAAAATAAATTCCAGCAGAAACAAGAGGGCCAGTTGCGAGAACGGCAACTCCCCCGCAGGGCCCGAATCCGCTCAACATCTGACCCACCTTTCGAGGCAGACCCGGCCTTGGCGACGGGAACCCTCCAGGAGGCCCGAAGATGACGAGACACGCCAGGAGGGCCCGCGCTGTCTCGACTGCCCCCCCCGGAGATTCGCGCGCAGGTGGCGCAGTGCTTACAAAGTTGAGGGTAAAAAAATCCGGCGGCACCGAGTTCTGCACACCCTGACTGGGTACGGACAGAATGGGTATGCTGCCCAACAGCAGGTGTAGCCCAAAACCGACAGCAGCAGCTGTTGGGCTGGCGGCCGTCTGTGCCAAATGGACAACGCCCGCGGCAGCACCGACAGCGAGCCCAGTTTCAAATGGACAGGAACTGCGGGCATGGAAAACGAAACATCGGCAAAAGGCATAAATTTTCCAGGTCCGCGCGGATTTCTTGGGTCTGTGCTTGACCCCCCTCCCTGGCACGCGTAAGCGCGCAGAGCGCGCCAGAAGGTTCAGCGCAGGTCCGAGAAATGCGCGCGGACCTGCGAAAGGGTAAGGATGGCGTTGGACAAATAGCGTGCAATATCGACCTCCGAAAGCACACGCTATCATTAAGAGGCGATCTCCCCGTGAAGGTCCCTCGGGCACGCAATCCCCCCGCCAGGGGGTCCTCGGTGCACGCTGTTCCCAAGGTGGGGGATAGCGTGTTACAAGCGGGCCAGCGGCGCCACATCGCACGCGATCTTCCCAACGCTACCCGTATGTTCACGCTGCTTGTTTTCTTCGATGTCAGACTTCGTCCCGATACTGTCTGTACCCATTACGAAGGTACCGACCAGAGTCAGGGCTGGCTCAAGCGGGCAAGTGCATAATCAACAGCCCGTCTGCAGAGCACGCCTCTCGGCAAAAGACACATCATGCACGAGAGCAGATGGTACATATAGGACATGCACAGACAGACTTACGCCCCCCTGGAAAAAGAAATGCATTCATATTTCGAGACCTTTCACTGAAAGGGACTCAAAAACGGCAGGGCCGTTTTCATTCCGTGGCTTCCGTATGTTTTGTCTGCTCAGTCGCCGCTGTTTGTTCCTTCGCCGTAGTCGTCCAGAACACGCTATGGCTCCGGTTCCGCTGCCTTTTTGCTTGTTTCGGTGAACGTGTTTTACCGTTGTCGTAAATAAGAAACCAGACCCTCGGAAACGAAACAAAAACCTGCCGTGTCCAAGGCCGACTACGATCTTGTCTTGCCCCCCTCCCACGGGACCCCGATCTCAGTGTTGCTGCGGCCGACGGCAGGAAAGTCGAATCACACGGCGGCCCTGCGTGAGCACTGAAACTGAAGGGGCACGGAAAGACTGACCACGCGCAAGGGTTGCACTCTTTTCCAAGGCAGCGCAGGCGGCAAACTTTCGCAGGTCCGCGCAGATTTCTTGGGTCAGCGCTAGGGGGCCCTCCCCTGGCGCGGAAAGCGGGCCAAGGGGTGGCCCAGCACCGTCTCGAGAAATCCGCGAGGACCTCCGAAAGATGGTGCTCAGAGCCCTCGAGTAATACATGCCACTGGGATCTATGCGAGTTATGAGAGCATATGCCTGCTTCCCAAACGATGGGAAGAATGGCCCCTCCCTGCTATTGCCAGCAAAAGCTGATGCCCGTGTCGACGACGGAGGCGGCAGATGCACAGGCTCCCCAGCCTCCTTCGATCGGCTCTCTGGGAGGTCTCAGAGCTGGACTAAAGAGGCCACGCGCGGGCCTGCAGCACGCATGCGTGGCCGTGCCGCTTCTTGGCTCTTCGAGCCAGGGCGGGCCTCCGGGAAGCCGGGAAGCCTCCCTCTGGTCCTCGTTGCCGCCAACCGAGGACGGATCCCGCGTCCTGCCCCGACCTCCCCTCCCCTCGTGCAGGCCTGGGTCTCCCGCGGGCGCCACAACCTGCCTGCTCTAAGCCTTGGCGCATCCGTCTAGCAGCGGGTCCCGGCGGAACAGCTCGAGCAGGCGGTCCTGTGAGCGGCGGCCTTCGCACCATTTCCGCGAGCGGGCCGCTGCGGCTTTCACCGCCCGCCTCGCCTCCTCCCGTTCCTCCGAGCTGCATTGGGCCGTCTTGCTTCTTGCCCCGCGCCTGTGGCCTGGTAGACAGCCAGCGGCATCGGGCAGCGTGGGATCAGCGCCGTGCAGGAGCAGCAGCTGGACGATCGTCTTGTCGCCCAGCGAGACGGCCACATGGAGCGGGCGGCAAGCAGACGAGGCGCACCAGCGAGAGGTCTGCCGCAGCTGGTTGACGTCGGAGAAGCCGTGTGCCTGGAGGAAGTTACGCACCTCTGCCTCAGAGCGCACACGTCGCTTCTCCTGTGCTTTCAGCGAGTCCACCCAGCTCGAGAATGACGAGCTCGACGCCGCGGTCTGCGCCGAGGTCTGCCGCCCAAAGCCGGAATCCGGTGAAGAGGGAAACGTATCCTCGCTCCCGGCAGATGTCCGGGCGACGTCAGCTGACCACCTCACCGATCCTGGCCAGGCCCATCCTGGGCCTAGAGAACGGGCACAGATGCCTACCCGACCAGGCCAGGGACCGTATACGCTGGTCCAAGGCGCAGGACCGGGCTGGCCAAGATCGGCGAGGTGGTCAGCTGACGTCGCCCGAGATACCCAGACATCCGACGATATGATTTGTTTATTCCGCTGCCCGAGTTAGGCGCGAAGACGTGGGAGGGCGATAAATGGGGGGGGAGAAGGTCCTAAAGGCTCCCTCTTGGGCCTTGAAGCGCCCCTTTAGGCGCCCTATAAAGGGCCCCTTTTTTGGCAGCCCTCGGCCTCCATTACGCGCCCTCCGAGAGAGATCCGTGTTTGATGGTCCCAGGCCCGACATCGGGCCCAGGATGCCGAAGTCGAGGAAATGCGCATGGCAAACAGAAGACAGATCGTCGGAGATCCGGGGGAATGTCTCCGAGGCCGTGAGGCCCAGACTGCTGCGGCATGTCCCCGAGATCTGCTGGAAACGCCCAGGCTGCGGCATGTCTGGACTCCTGTTGGCACTCCCGAGATGGGTGCGGAACAGTGGACACGTGCCCAACAGCAAATGCTGCCTAAATCCGACAGCGGCGGCAAATGGGCAGGCGTTTTCTGTCTCGACTGGGCAACGTCCGCGGCGACACCGCAAGCAAGTCCTGTTCAAACTGGGCAAGAACTGTCGTCATCGAAAAGGACCGGCATTAACAGTAACGTTCGAAGGTCCGCGCGGATGTCTTGGATCTGCGCTGAAAACCTTTTCCCCGCGCGCGGAAAGCGCCAGGGGCGGCGCTGGAGGCGCCACGTGGGTCCAGCGCAGACCCAAGAAATACACTCGGACTTCCGAGAGGCAGTGGTTGGCTCTTCGATGCAACCACTCCTCGTCCCGATCCTTCTCGTACCCCTTCCGATCGTACCGACGAGTGGCCTCCAGAGCGAGGCCAGCAGAGCCAGCCTGTTGTCGGACCCATCCATGACTTCGGACTCGCCGTAGTTTGGTCGATTTTCCGACTTACATGTGTTTCAGCATTGCAGCCCAGGCGGTGCGAAAAACAGTCGCGAACATTCGAGTTTCAAAAAAGTGGGGCGGACACGTCCGCAGAAGTGCAACGGAAACGGCGACGGCACAGTCGGGCGGAGATCCGCCGACCCCTTAGGGTCACGGCCTGTGAGATGCTTCCCCCTCCCCAAACCCCTCCCCCTGGAGCCTGGTCCGGCCGGTTTGGAGGGGGGGGCAAAGGTCCCATCAGGCCCCACGAAGCTCCTCAGGGCTCCAAGTAGGCCCCACGACGGCCCAAGAGGCCCCCGAGACGCCCAAAGGTCGGCCAAAGACACCCAAAATGGCCCCAAGATGGCCCCAGAAGCCTCCCAGACGGCCCAGGAAGCCTCCAAGAGCATTCCCAAGAGGGGCCCAAGAGGTCAGAATCGTTGAATTCTTCTGGGGGAACTTACATTTTCACTACTTTTCGGCCTTCACGGCGTTGAAGACGGCCCCAGTCCCCCAAGACCACCCCAAAACAGCCCAAGAGGCTCCCAAGAGGCGCTCGAAACGGCCCAAGAGGGCGCCACGACGGCCTAAGGGGCTCCCAAGACGGCCCAAGAGTGCCCCAAGACGACCCAAAGAGGAGCCCAAGAGGGGGAGCCGGAACCAACAATCCGAGCCTTCCGTCCCAAAGCGGCCCCAGGGGGGCCCAAGAGGCGCCCAACAGGGCCCACGAGACCCCCAAGATGCCCCCCAAGAGGCCCCGAGAGGACCCCAAGAGGCCCCTGAAGAGGCCCACAAGGAGCTCAAAATAAGCCCCAAGTACCACTCGAGGCATGCAACTTCTAACCCGCAACCCAGGCACCAAATATCTCAGGCCGACACCAAGGCACGGTGGCGGGATGGGCAGAAGGGCGTATTATACATATATCCGCCAGCCCCCTTGCGGGGCCACCAGGCTGTAGGCGCGGGTTCGTAGTTTCCTGTACCAGTTGTAGCTTCTAGTTTCCAGTGTTACAGTTATGCTTATTGCTGGTTGCTGTAACTAGTTGACTTCTTGCTGGTTACTGTAACTAGCTGATTGCCCGAGGGCGCATCATAGCAAAACGGTCCAACCCCAGGTGTGCTCGACAGCACCCGGCGGGAAAACAACGCTCTTATTCGGACAACAGGACAGGCCGACAAAGAGAACGCGGGCAAGGCAAGGAACCGGGGCCGACGGGAAAGCGAGGAGCCGAGGAGCGAGAGGGGGAGGGGGCGAGGGAGGACGACAGGACAGGACAGACCAGGCCGACGGACGGACAGACGAGGAGACGGGGAAAGGAAGAGAAACCGAGCAAGGAGACGGAGGGAGAGCACGCAAGACACAAGGGCAAGGAAACACAAGGGCAAGGGGGGAGGACACGGAGAGGGGGAGGAGAGAGGGGAGGGAAGGAGGAGAGGGAAGCGAAGAGAGAGAGAGGGCCGGGGCCAAGGCAAGAAAGGAAGCGAGCCAAATGGCGCTACCGGGCGTCAGCAAAAACGGAGAATGCCACCGTCAAGGCCTGCAGTGGGGGGAAAATCACAACGGGCAGCAGGAGACGGCGGAAAAACGAGTGGGGCCACCAATCCCTCATACTATCTGGGCATCGGCCTCGTCTTGGCGCCCCGCCTGCAGCAAGGTCGCCGCGCGGCCGACGTGGTCAGCATGGACGCCGACTTCCTGAGGGATCCTGGCCAGCAAAGCGCGTGCGTTCGCACGCATCAGAATGATGCTAAGGCCAGAATATAAGGAAGTGGTGACATTGCTCACCGTCTCGCCACTGCGCGCTGCACGGGCATGAATCTGGGCCCGGAACACGTCTTGCGCCATCTCGCCCCGCCCGCCGAAGGATTCCACGACCATGGGGACTAGGCGGATGCCCAGTTGCTCACAGCGCGCGCCAGTGTCTGAGAGGCGACGCGACAGCAAAATCGAGAGCCAGGGGCGGGCCGAGCGGCCAGGTCGGGAAATGGATGTCCCCGGGCCGCCGGCGGGGGTCGTCTGGCAGCAGCCCGCTCTCCTCCTTTTCGGCGCGGAGGCCCGCTGCGTGTGCAAAGGAGTGGACCTGATCGCGCAAGGCGTTGTGTACCTTGACCGCGTCACCACCCGCCATGCAACTGAGGGAGCGCAGGCCCTGCGCGCCCATCACCTGGTCGCACTTCGGGCACCAGTCGCCCCTGCTAGAGGCATGGCACCCCAGCCACAAACGCAAAGCCGCCACAAACTGAAGTGGGACATGCGCTGCCCGAGGGCGCTACACGGTTGGGCCTGCAGCCGCGCGCTCGCGTGCGGCGCGCTGGTCGCAAGGAGCCTCGCCTTGTGCGCGTCTGGGCTTGCCGCGATCAGCTGGTCCAGGGGTCTTTCGTCCACGTGCATTGACAAAGACCGCTGGCTGGGGAAGGAGTCCTCGGCAGCCATCTGCTCGCTCGTGATGCGGTGCTCCTGCAGGGCGCCCCCATTATAGAGGTCGGCTGCTGCTGTCAGGGCGCCGCCATCACAGGCCCCGCCCCACGAGAAGGCAGCGTCAATCTGACCGCATAGGTGTCGCGTCGCCGTGCGGGAGGAAAGGTAAGCCGCGGCAGCGTGGTAACTCCCAGACCGAAATCCCAGTCCTCCCTTGCTCAAGGGCAGGGACGCCTGCTGCCACCGGCTCTCGTTTAGCGCCGTGCCTGTGCAGGTCTGGAATGTCGACCTGAGAGCCCGCTGGCTCTGTACTAGACCATGTGTTATCCAGTCAGGCCGCGTAGTCCGCATATTATGCATAAGTCTTGAGGCGCCGAAACATCGAGACAGCAACTTGTGGGCGACCTGGGCGTCCTCCAATAATAGCACCTCGTCGAGCATCGCGGTCAGCTTCTGCACTCTCTTCACCTTCACGTACTCTGCGCAGTGCTCTTGGCCACCGACAGGGGCGCCGAGCAATTTGAAGTAACCGTCGATTCTCCGCTGGACACTTGCGGGGAACTCGGACAGGTTGCGCTCCGCATTGCGCCCAGCCGTGGGGATTACCTCGCATTTGTCCAAATTCAGCTCAAGGCCCAGGCTTGCTGCTTTCCGCTGAATCAGCCGCAACGCCCGCAGCGTCGCGCCGAACTCGCCCGCCGCGCAAAAGTCGTCGAGGTAGCCGCATGCTATGTCCAACCCAGCATCGGTCTTCAGCTCCTGCAAGAGAGGATGAACAGCCAACGAGAACAGGAGAGGTCCAAGGGCGTCGCCCTGCTGGACTCCCCTGCTGGACGTCAGCACGTGGCTGCCAAACAGGAGGTCCGATGGGCCACCGTAACACCACCGAGCCCAAGCCTCCAAGCCTGGCATGTGCCTGCCGACCTCGTCCAACCGCTGCACGCTATTGAACGCATTGCGAAAATCAATGAGGAGGACCGCTCTGTCTGGCGAGTTCCTGTGACGACTTACATATTGTTGAAATGTGTGCACGACTGTCTCTGTTCCGAGTGGGCTTGCCACGCCAACTAGCAAAGGCCAGAACAGAGGGCGCGCTTCATCCTTGACGTCGGCACACAGAACTTTGCTGGTAAGTCTGCGAAAGACTTCCCCCACCGCGATTGGCCGAATGTCGCCGTCATCCTTGGGCAACGCGGCAAGCGAGGCGCCGGCTACATGTTGTGACAGATGTTGAGCAGCCTGTCCACGGGCCAGCAGATTAACCAAATCTGTCAACGCCTCAAGGCAAGAGGCTTGGTCCGGGCCTGCCACGGCATCAAGAAGGTGCTGCGCCTTCAATCCAGAAGGCCCACTGGCTGAGCACTTCGGGAAGGTTCTCAGGGCGGCCAGAACCTCCTTATCTAAGAAGTCCTCCTGTGGTCCGCTCACACCTTGCAGAGGTCTGAGATCACGCGCCCCCGATTCTTCAGGGTGCTTCCTCTTCAGAGCCCTCAGCGTATTAAGGCTCGCGTCAGCCATGCCCTTGGAAAGCAAAGCCTTGCACGCCTGCCCGTCGAGGCCTTCCTCGGCCAAGGCGATGGCACGGCGCCTCCTCCGCTCCTCCGAAGCGGTCGTGAGGCTGCTGTACCTTAGCCTCAGTGCGGGCGCGCCACAACTCTAAACGGTCACCGTCTGCCCACTGCTGCAAACGGGATCTGATGAGGCGATCCTGCACATGTTTGTGATTCTTGCCGGACCTCGTGGCCGCTGCTAGGACACACTTGGGCAGCATCAGAAGCTCGGCCCAAGCATCGCGCGAGCGCTGCATTGCATCTTCGGGGGCATCCACCCCCGGCGCCGCGTTCAGGAACATTGCCGAGGCCATAGCTCGAGTGAGAATTGTGGACCATAAGCGTTTGCATGAGCTCGGCACCCTCTTCACAGTACGCACATTGGCCTGCATGATGTCGAGAAGGGCCGGCAAGCCCGCGGCACCCGAGCCAGGGAGGCGGCCGAGATCTGGCGCTGGCTGCCCCGGCGGACCCGCTGCTGACCGAGCGAGGTGCCGACAAGAAGGGTGCATCGAGCCCACGGGGCCGACCACCAGCCGCGCACACCCCGCGCATGGTACA